GTGTGTTTGCAGCCATTTGAGCAGCCCCCGTTGCCGTCGCCTGTCGAGGCGCCGACGTCGCCGATGTCGCCTCAGCACCCCCCACTCCCGCAGCCCATCTGTAGGCCAGCTATGGGAGGCACCACACACACGCCCCATGTGCTGTGCGCCTATGTGGGTCGTGTGTGTCGTCATGTGTGGTGCTCTCTGTTGGATCGATCAGCGCTGCCCCCTTTATCGCCTGGAGGGATCTCTGACTCTTCTCTCGAGCTGCAGGTCGGTGTGTCGTGACACGCACCGCCCGCAGGCGTTCAAACCTGATATGTGTGTGTGACAGGATCTGATAGCGCATTTCCCCAACGGGCTGCTCCCGACGCCCTCGCCAAAGCGTCGCAGCAGGTTCCCCAACCTGTCCCCGCTGGCATGCGACAGCCCCCCCTCCTCGATCGCCATGTCGCCCACCAGCCACTACGTCTGCGACGGAGACAACGACAAGGTTAACGGATCCGGCAGCTGCACCAGCACCGCCAACCCTAGTGCGAGCGGCTCGTCGGGGAGCGACAGGACTGCCGCACCCTACACGCCTCACAATAACACTACCAGCGGCACTGGGGGTGGGCTGAAGGGCGGCGGAAATTTTGGTGGTGGTGGTGGTGGAGCAGAGAGAGCGGCGCCTGTGAGGGTCTGCAAGGTGCGCGCGCGCGTGTGTGTGTATGTGTGTGAGTGGCTCCTCAGACAGACAGACAGACAGACAGAACATACAGGCGTAGAGGCATACAAACACAGCATCCTCTCTCTCTCTCTCTCTCTGTGTGTGTGTGTGTGTGTGTGTGCGTGTTTCAGGTGTGCAGTTCGTTCTACGAGTTCATGTCGTCCATGCCGACCGTGGCATCGTGCCCCGCCAAATGGCACACCAAGTAGACAGACAGACAGACAGAGAGGGACGGAGAGAGAGAGAGATGTGAGGGACGATAGAGGGATGGAATATATGCTTGCATGGGGCAGGGACACACACAGAGACACAACTGACTGAGATGTGTTTTCCTCTGTCTGTCTGTCTGTCTGAGTGAGTCTTCTGGCTGATGTGATGGGTGGAATGGAATGTCTGTCTGTATAGCGCTGGTGCATGGCTAACCGGCTGGCTGGCTGGCTGCCGTCAGTCAGTCAGTGAGTGGGGGGGGAGAGGGCAGGGCGGGGTTTTGGGATGGGTGGGAATGGTTACATCACAGCCGCTGGCATAGTTTATACCCCCCCTCCCTCCCCCCCTCCCTCCCACGAGACATTTATGTAGGATTGTGGTCCGTTGATTGCAGTGGCGGGTGGGCGGTGGGGTGATTGGGCGGTCCGCAAAGGGCCGTACGTAATTAACCAACCAAGGAATCGGAATCGACCGGCTGTGCGTGCGTGCGTGCGTGTGCGGGCGCGTGAATGTTTTGGGTGTCTGTGGGCGTGGGCGTGGGCGTGTAAAGCGATGATTGCGCAATGGCTTGCATGCGATCGATGCGCACGACACTGCCCTGCCAGCCCAGCCAGTGAGTGCCAGACGGACGGACGGATGGATGGAGAATGGCCAAAGGGGCTCGGGTGGTTCATTTCCTTGCCATTTGCCGTTTGCCGTCTCTCTCTCTTTCTCTCTCTCTCCCTCCTTCTCTCTCTAGCCGTTTTGTTGCTCCTTGCTTGCCTCTTCTCTCTCTTTGCTTGCTCCTTCTTGGCTAAGTCTACGCAATTCGCTGAACAGACAGACAGACAGCTGCAAAACCCATAGACATACACACACACAGAGACACACAGAGCATAGAGAGCGATCGCTGAGATCGGTGCGGCTCGGCTTTGTGGGACCAGATCATTGTTTGTTAACCCTTGCTGTGTGGGTGTGGCTGTGCGTGTGTGTGAGTGTGAGGTGGCCACCTACAGGGATTTATGGGTGGGTGGATGGACTGTGTACCGTGCGCACACACATGTGCAGAAATCGCAGGCAGTGGCCGGCCGGTTTGTCGTATTATTGATTGTCGATGGACACGACACGATTGCTTGGTGTGCGTGTGTGTGTGTGCAGAGGGGTTTGTGTGTGCGTGTGTCTGTCTGACTGTCTCCGTGATCGGTCCGCCAATCAACACATTCATTCGCCGTTCGACGTCGCGCATGCGCAGGCGTCAATTAGCCGGCCGGCCGGCCGGCCGGGCCCTCTCCCTCCCCACATCCCTGCGCCTGTCTGTGCCATAACATACACAGACCTGAACGTGTGATCTCTGTCCCGCCGCCACTGCAGAAAGGGTTCCAGGAACTAGCGAACAAACAGCAGAAACCGGGCAGCTGGTGGTTTGCTTCCCCAGCAAAGGCTGTGAAAAGGCCGATCAGCATCTCCAGGTTCAGAGATCAATCCACGCTGTGCTCCTATGCTTCCTGGCGAAACGCGAGCTCAGCTTGGAGGAGAGAAGATCGCCGTGCGCGTGCGCTGCAGCGATCTCCCCGACATCCCGTCACGGGAAGGTCAAGACCTCGTGCAGCACCGCTGTCGGCAATGGAGGATGAGTTCAACCGCGCCAACAGCGGCTCGAGAAGAGGCAACAAACAGACCGACAACGTGCCCGCCAGGAGCACCAGCACGCTGCATTATGCTCTCATCAGCGCATGCACAAGGCTTAAGCGCAGCATTATGCTCTCATCAGCGACGGTGTTGGTGATCTGTCTTGTTCTCTCGGCAGCCGAGAGCTGCCGGCCATCGGCGGTGTCTGCCTTTGTCGCGCCGCCCGTCCGCCTCTCCCGCACCACCACACACACTGGTCTGGCCTCCCAGATGAAAGCCACCAAACCGCCAACCAAGGTGACTGAATGACATCTATGTCGCCACACACACATGCACTCTGATGAATGGCTCTTTGTCTGTCTGTCTGTGCAGCAATCAGGTGAGCAGCGGATGGCTGAGGTGGACCGGAGGCTGCGGACCTTCGAAGAGAATGCTCGCTTCATGACCGAGTACAGCGAGTTCCAGGGGCTCAAGGAAACCAAAAGACAACTCACCCTGCAGCAGACCAAAGGCACGCACACACGCCGCACACACACACACACACACACAAAATCCTGCAGGTGAGTCTTTTCTCGGTCTGTCTGTCTGTCTGTCTGGTGTGGCCATTGATGGGTGGGTGCAGGGGCGTCGGGGGCTGGAGGGAGAGTGGCCGGTTTGACAAGAACGGCCTGGACCTATCTTCTCCTTAGCCTCGCCGTTGTTGTCTCGACAGTCTGGGCGTTTTTCTTCAGCGGATGCACAATCGATTATATTGGTCGGATGGATAATGGATACACACGGGGGTGTGTGGGTGTGTCTGTCTGTCTGGACGGTGACCACACACACGCATACAGACACCCAGACATTCAGCACATGCATTCACCGTTCGACGTCGCGCTGCGTCCCTGCAGGTGTCAGTCAATTAGCCGGCGGGGGCGGGCGGCAAAATGTCTCAACTGTCACCACCGTACACACACTCAGACACTCAGCCAGACATATCATTTACAATACACACACTGCCAGTGTTTTTCGTACGAGGCATTGCCCCCCTTTCTCTCCCTCTCCCTCTCGGTGGTCTCTCTGTTGCCCTCACACAGATCGAGAAAAATCTTCTCTCGACAGACAGACAGACAGACAGAACGAGCGGTCGCTCCTTTGGGCATGGCATGCATTGGTCGACTGCACTCACTGCAACACTCACAGCAGCAGCAGCAGCAGCATCGATTTGTGGTTAGCTAGCTATGTACAGCTGATCGAGGTGAGAACGACGGGCGGCCGGCCGGGCGGGCAGAGAGACAGACAGAGAGTCAGACAAGACAGACAGAGGCACTCACTGACTGCACAAGTTAGTCAGGAAGGAGTAGGCAGGGGAAAGCGCCGCGAGCACAGAATGGCACAGCACAGCGTCTGGACCAGACCAGCGCTCTCACTGCATCCAACCAACTGGCCGGCAGGCAGGCAACGAAAAGACCGCTACGGTTGCTGACATAGAAAGTGGTGTGTATGTGTATGTGTGAATGTGTGTAAAACGAGAAAGGGCTCTCCTCTCCCAACGTGCCGCGCAGCCGTCTGGTGGTTGGCCGGGTGACAGACAGACACACGAACAGACACAGACAGACAGACAGACAGATTGACACACATAGAGATGCACAAACGCAGACAGGCAAAACTGCAACTTTCCTTCCCCTCTCTGCATGACCCTTCCGTCGTCTTAACCCATCATCCAACAGACCAACGAATCACAAAACACAAAACACGAAACAGAGAAACACATCCCTCACACTGTTGCCC